GATAAAGAAATTGTGGTATATATACACAATGGGATACTACTCTGCTATAAAAAAGAATGAAATTCTGCCATTCGCAGCAACATGGATGAACTTAGAAAAAAAAATTATTAAATGAAATAAGCCGGACACAGAAAGAGAAAAGCTGTATGAGAGAACATAAATAAATAAATAAATGAAAAAGAAAGAAAGATACAACAGTCACAGTAACTTGTTTAACTTTCAAAAGGAGAGAACAGAACTGAGGGCACCAGAGGTCTGTAGGTGGTAGGAGGGAAGGAGGGGGTTGGTGAGGAATTGGTAAAAGGCCACAAAAAATTATTACATTGTGTAATGTTCATATACTAATTATTCTGATTTGAGCATCACATATCGCACACAGGTATTGATGTTCAACGCTGTACCCCACAGATATATACAATCAAGTAAGTTTCAATTAAAAATAAATAATTTTTAAAAAAAGATACAACGAGGACTTCCTGACACTTCCCTCGAAGCCAGCATTAGGGGAAGCACTGCATTGGAGAAGTAAGAGCAAGGGAGGGAATATGCACTTATTTCAAAAAAGACAACAAACTTTCTAAGTATTTTAGAAGCTACCATAAATTTGTAACTAAAATATGAACTTGTCCCACACTATATGTCTGTGATATGCCCCTGAGAAAGCATTTATCACAAATGCTCTCATCACAAAGAAATGATAAATTTTCATGATGATAGATATGCTAATTACCCTTATTTGATCATCACACATTGTATACAGGTATTGAAATATAACTGTACCCCTTAAATATGTACAATTATTATGTGTCAATTAGAAATTAATTAATTAATTATTTTTAATTTTAAAATATAAAGACTAGTATCATTTATTTCCTTCCCTACTGTTACTCTGCTACCCACAATATAGTGCTCAGGAAAAATCTGATTGAGAAGCCTCCTTCTGTTATTTGGTGCCATTCTCTGGTAGAAAGAAAGCAAGATTGGTACCCAGTACTATATAATAATAAAAATGTTGAGTGATTTTTCTTTCAAGAACTGTATTACAGCAGCAGAATGAATTCAAATGTAAAACCTAGGGCTTTCTCGAATAGTTCTCATCTATTGCAAGACCTCACTGGAGAGAAATGGGGCTACGGTTGGGAAGAAGCGACTATACCATCTGGTCCTTTACTATATTTACCAACCTCCGTTTGCCCTTTTACAAATTGAGTTCTGATTCCAGGGAAAAACACAACTGAGGGGCTATTCTTCAGACTAGATCAGTATCCATGCATTTTTTTAAAATTTATTTATTGAATCAAAATCTATTATATATATTTTTGGGGTTGAACATTGAGAAATGTTGATCAAATCAATATTACTAGCATATATATTGTTACAAATCATAATTATTCTTTATGCCCTTTGTCCAATCTCTCCCCATCCCCCTCTCCCTCCTCCTCCCCCCTCTAATTACCCTAGTTTCTTCTGTCCTTCTGAAAGAATAATGGTTACTCTGTTGATTTGTTGCCTAGATGATCTGTCCAATGCTGAGAGGTGTGTTCAGGTCCCCCAGTATTATCATAAAGCACATGCTTCTTCTGTCACTCTGGAATGGGCTTTGTGGAGAGAGACATCCTCTTCTTTTCTTTGTCTCTGCTGGTGACTCTCCTTGTGTCAATGCACTGCAGTGGCTGGCAGACCATCTGCATGGTGGTTGTGGTGTCTAGCTACATTCACGGCAGCCATGGTTATGGTGGTGGCTGTGGTGGGCCACCAAAAGTAGGTGATGTTTTTGGCATGCTCCTTGGCACTGGCAGTGTGCCTGATTGTGGGGTGTGTCTGGTCTCCTTCTCCATGCCTCTGGTCCCTGAGCAGGCCCAGTATCCATGCAATTTTGATCATCAGGTTATTCAAATCTTCCAGTTCACAGTGAGAAATGTCAGTTATAATGAGATATGGAAACAAAATGTCCCTCTGTTCATATCGGGTCCTGCAAATGGATTCCCCACACTGCTTAATTTGTCTCCACATTGTCCTGGTGAGTGTGAGCCCTGTGCAGATCTGAAGTAGTATGACAAAGTCATGTTGTAGTCAATGGTTGGTGCTCAAGGCAAGGTTTCCTTATTATAATCCTGGAGCAGCATTTCTAAGACTAGGAAAGAATATTTCCACCACAAACTTAACATCAATTTTCTTTCAAGCAAAACCTATGAGCATGCCTATGTAACAGAAACCTACCAACTCTCCACTCTTTCTCTAAACCTCCCACTTCAGGTTCAAAAGGTGAAGCCTTCCTTGATGAAGCACCATTGGCTGGCACATGAGAAGGTTCCAGTCATGTGAGATGGGTGTCCAGTCATATTGAGATAGGTTCCTTGAAGGAAGACAAGGAAAGCTATCTGTATTTTTCATAATCTCTATCCAGACGTGTCTGCTCTGTAGGCGTCCTGGAGTTCTTCCCAGAAGGCAGATCTCACAATCTTCAATGCCAATCATGAATAAGAATTCCATTTACTTAAAAGAATGAAACTTGTTGAATGTTGTTAGTATGGATGAAAAGTGTCAGGTTAAAAGGAACAAGTGTTGATCATTGCCTACACCGAGGTCTTGAGAGAAAGGACCACTGTATTAACCCCCACCCCTCCTATTTCCTACACCAATCCCTTCATGTTCATCAGAGAGTCTACCAGAGAGACGGCTAAGCTGCAACTGAGTTGACTGCCTAGATGAGTGACTTTAGGCATGTCAATTAATTTCCCTGACTGTTGCTTGTATATAGAATCAAGAGTCCTTATACTTCTTTTTCTTCTTTTGAACTTTGCCAAAAAGTGCACTGCAAAAATCCTGAGAAAAATCCTGCCAGCATAGCTGCCCTGTGAGGGTATACTGCATGTTCTCAACACAGAAAGTCTAGAAATAGGGTCTTTCCTAGCTGCCCTGTGAGGGTATACTGCCCTGTGAGGGTATACTGCATGTTCTCAACACAGAAAGTCTAGAAATAGGGTCTTTCCTGCTACATTCATGCATTATCAGGACAGCATTATCATTTGGCACAATATCTTCAAATGTTAAAGAAAATAAACATAGGATACTAAAATGAGAAACCATGATGTTAAAAATGATCAGTAGGAAGCCCTGAACTCCTTACAATGCCCCTTTTCACTCTGCTCACACACTGCCCTGCTGTTACTCCCTTGTTTTTATACATCAGACAAGCCAAGCTTCAGCAGTGGATATTCTGTTGGCCCCCTAATCCAAGGGAAGAAGAGCCTTGGGATTCACATTCAAGCTGGGAGTTCTAGTCTTAGGGCATGTCTGATAGTTATGCCACATAGTTAATTCATTTATGCCCAATAAACCATAAGCAATCATGGATATGGCACCTAACCTCTCACAGCCTCTGTATCAGTTTACTAGGGCTGCCACAACAAAATGCCACAGATAGTGGCTTAAACAAGAGAAGCTTATTCTCTCATGGTTCTGAAGACTAGAAGTCCAAGACCAACGTGTTAGAAAGTTTGGTTTCTCCTGAGAAATCTTTCCTTGGCTTGCAGATGGTCACCATCTTGTTGTGTCCTCATGTGGCTTTTCCTCTGTGTGTGTATTCCTGATGTCTCTTCCTCTTCTTATAAAGATACAAGTCATACTGGATTAGGGCACACCCTAAAGGCTTCATTTTAACTTAATCAACACTTTGAAGATTCAATCTCCCAGTACAGTCACATTCTAAGGTTAGGTTAGGACTTCAACATATGAATTTTGTAGGGGACATTTTTAGCCCATAACAGCCTCTATAAAAACAGACATCATGAGGATTGATGTAAGATGCAGACAAGAACATGATTTAGAAAGTGCTTTCTAAATAAGTTACCTTACAAATATTGTATTATTGATATCATTATTATTGCCATTATAATTATTATTCTCTTGAACTATTCTCGGTCTCCTGGGAAATCTAAATTTTCTACCTTTGAAAGAATTATACCATGGTGGTTTAGAGAATTAGGATGTCTAGATTCAAATGCTGACTCCACTACTTGTTATCTGTGCGACCTTCAGAAATTGTGTTACCCTATTGAAGCCTCCGTCTATACATTAAGAATGGTGAAAGTAGTACATACCTTGTAGAGCCGTTGAAAGTATTAAAAGAGGAAATGCATTAAAATGACTGGCTAATAGTATGTGCTCAATAAATGATGGTTGTCATGAACAGCAGTATTTAGACCTTGTTTTTGTTGCTGCTTTTCTCCCAGCCAGCAGAGGTCTCCTTCATAGCCAAATGAGGACTAACTTCCCCATGACAGTCTGCACTGCAGCTGCTAAACACACTCACTGTTGGCAAAGAAATGGTGAAAGAATTACCACCCTGTTTGAAGGAGAAGAAATTGAAAACAAGAGAACAGGGAATAGTTAGGATTCCAAGGTAAAATGTTAACTGAACAGGTGACCATGACTTAAGATTGTCTAAGTTCTAGTGCTGACTTTCACTGACAGTGCTCTTGTATCTCGCTTTAGCCTGCTCTAAAACAAATTAACAAACAAAACTTCATGTATATCAGAAAGGAGCAGTAAGAATAAATTGACAAATGTTTGTAAAGTTCTCTGAAAGCAAGAAATGCTGCTAAATAAACATCTGGTGCTACTCATAGTATTAAGTTTATTTCATCTTTATCACAAGTTATACTCCATGCCTCAGTTTTGCTTCCACTGTGATACATTTCCCTTAACCTTCTTTTCTCAGACAGGCTTACACCCCCAAGTTCAATTACTCTGTCAACTGTGTTTTAAATTGTACTGATTTCCATTAACTACTTGTGGTATCAATTTGTTGATCTATTCCTTCTTCTGAACCAATCGTCTTTATACCCACCAATAGCTGGAAAGGCAATTAAACTAAGGAAAGTGAGAGTTATTCAAGAGAAATTAAAGCATAAAGGTAAAGAGAGTGGAAAAACTGGATTGAAAAGAACACGGAGGGAAAAATACACATGTACTAAAAAGCACAGTCCCAGAGCAGGTAGAGGCACAGAGGGAAAAAGAGGACAGCGAGGTGCAAAACGGATCCTGCTGACGCCTATCCCATCTCTCTTTCAGCACCAAGGACACATCCTCTCAGCGGCTGACCCAGGCAACGTTGTTAGGGTCCCTCCCAAATCCTCTAGAGAAAACGGATGCATTCTAAAGCAGCTATGAAACATGCAGTAAGGTCTAATAGAAAAGCCGGAAAAGCAGCACACAAGTAATTTTACCTCAGAGGCAAAAATGGGTGATTTTCTTTCTGTTCATTTCCATGGTTCCTGTGTCCTGGGAAAGGCGAAGTTTGCTTTGCTTGGGGTATATCTGCGTCAGTAAATGGCTGCAGCAGCTGAGGTGCTAAACTCTGCGGTCTTCAGAAACCAGAAGAAATTTTCAGGGTAAGTAATTTTTCCTTTTGTTTCTACTTTAGTACATAGTGTTTTCCTGGAAGGTTACTCAATCAGCTTGGGGTTCTGTGGTTCTCTAAGAATATGCATTGAAACTCCAGACCCACTCATTTAAAAACCTGAAACCCTGAGGAAACTGTTTCCATTTTTCTCTAAGTGGCTGAACCGTAGAAACCTGTTCTCTTTCTTTCTCTCTCTCTCTTTTTCTTTTTCTCCAAAATTGTATCTTCATAGGCTCTAGAAGCTATATCAAGGCAAAATTAAAAGATAGAAAATAAAAAGCCATCATTATTGCTGGGAATTGTATGGAAGATGATTGTATTCCTCTTAAAGATTTTACTTAATTGTAAGGCTCTGTTATTTTTATCTCCCCAATTTAGCACCCCAGTAATCCAAGGCTGAGGGTTTGGAGAGGCACTGTTTTCAACAGTCTATTTAAAGTCAGGCTGTTTCCAAGTCGGAATCCAATTATTCCCAACAGAGATATGTAGTACTTGAGATGATGATTGTGTGTGTTTTCTTTAATGATGGTATATGATTTTAAGAGTATTGTTGTTTAATTGTGAGAGTTCCTTACTTACTGTAGTTTATCGAGTGAACAGAAGTCATTACAATTAAGCATTTATTCCAGTTCATGAATTTAGTTTAATCGAATATCATCAAAATGCATGCACAAATAATAATGCAGCAATAGCGAAGTGGAACTTGGATTCTAAACTCATTCTGCACGCCTGTGTGCACTTTATAGGTGAAGCCCTTTGCTTACTTATACTTTAGGTCAGAAGAATGTCTATCTTTGGGTAAGAAGTATTGGGATCTCTTATCACCAAAGAGAAGCAGAGACAGTGTGATAAAGATTCTTACTGGGACACCCGTTTGTTTATAGTTGCATATTTTCAAGGGTCTACATGGCTAGCAGTGGGCAGGGATGTTGATCAAGGAAAATACCAACAGTATTCAAATGAGTGCCTGATATTAAAGCATCTATACAGCAAGCTGCTTATTACGGAATATGCATTAAAGCAAATACTAAATAGATTCTACCAAATATTAAATTCAATTTCTAATACACTGAAGTTTGTCATCAATTAATGTTTGCTTATCAATTGATCTTTTCAGTTCCCCATTTTACCTCTGATAATAATGATAGAATGCTCACTTTTTGGAGATTGTGAAGAAAAGTGAGGGTGCTGTGCTTTACCGGGCAGGTTTAATTGGGAAAAAAACTGTATTGCCTGAGCTACTGGATCTCAGTAACTAGCTATGGCTTTTCTCTCATCTACAACAATGTAAATTTAGTCCCCAAATATATAAATATTCTATTCATTTCAGTGCGCTTGTGAATCTTCATTAGGAAAATAAACCAGATAGCAACTTGCAAGAATAAAATGCCATAGAAATGCTAAAGACCACCTCTAATAATAATGACAATGCTAACTCCCACTGGTTCTATGAGCAGTGTGCACCTGCGTTGACTTCAGTGAACTTGGTCATGTGATGTGTACAAGACACTGAACAAGTGAGAGTTTAAAATGAGTCCCCATTTTAGGTTTCTGTGCCTCACTCCAATAGTGGGGTAGTGAAGAACATGAGTTCTGAACTCAGACAGATCTTGGGTTGAATCAGCTCCACCATTTACTAGTTTATGACCCAAGCAAGATATTTAATCTCTCTGGAACTCACTTTCTTTCATCTGCAAAAATAGGGATAATAATAGCACCTACTTCCTTCATCAGGTTGTTGTGAGTTTTAAATTTGATAATGCTTACAAATGTTAGCCATGAGGTTACTTCAAAAAGTTCGGGGAAAAGCAGAATTAAAAGATAATGCAAATCTTTCTATGAACTTTTTTTTTTTTTTTTTTTTTTTTTAAAGATGACCGGTAAGGGGATCTTAACCCTTGACTTGGTGTTGTCAGCACCACGCTCAGCCAGTGAGCGAACCGGCCATCCGTATATGGGATCCGAACCCGTGGCCTTGGTGTTATCAGCACCGCATTCTCCCGAGTGAGCCACGGGCCGGCCCTAAATATCTGTTTTAATATAAATGTTACCAGTCATAATTTTGGTTTAATTATAATTTTAAAATGTTATGTTTTTAAATATTTTATTAAAAAAACTTTAAATCCAGCAAGATGATACAAACATCCCAAGGTTTTATGCTTCCCTCTTACTTGACAAGTCAGATGAGGCTAAGACATCATTAGCCAACTACAGACCCCAGGAAAGAACAATTCTAAAAATTGCCTTCCAAGGTGGCCCAGTTGCAAAAGGAAAGATGTTCTGGGCCTGAGCCTGCCTTAAAGGTGGAAATATCCTGAACAATCAGAAAGCCTTGGATTTTTCCAAAAGCTCTTGGCGGCAGCAGTGCTATCTCCAGGGTAGCGGCTGCCCTTCTACAAATAATGAGAAAATTATAATTATTATCAAGAATTATTATTATGTTTTAAAATATATTGAGTGCAAACAGTGTGCCAAGAGAAAACATTTTTTTTAAACAATCCTCTGAATTCATTCCAAGTTTGGTCACTCCTTTCCAATCATTTGTTCATTTCAACACTTTCATATTCCAGGCTGAAACATTTCAAAATGAGGTACGAAATGACAGCCATGGCTAGGCCGATCTCCTAATCAAAGGAGAGCTACAGACACCAGAATCAAGAACAAATCCTGGCTGCCGGCTTCTACTTTTGCCGAGGGCTGGTGACCCTCCTGGGGTGGTGGTAACAAATGACACCACAGTCTTGGACCTGTTGAGCAGGTACAAGGACCACAGTCCTAACTGAGCAAGTGCCCATGCCACGACCAGGAAGAACAGAATTGACCACCTCCACAGGTGCACAATGATGATGCTGGCCTGCACCCCTCACCCTATAAAGACATTGAACGCCTCTCCTCAGGGAGCTAGCTTTGCTATAGCTTTCTCCCTTATGCATAAGCTCTCTATTCTTTAAATAAAACATTGCTTTATTTAACTGATTTATTTAAATGCTGGGTGTGTTGTTCATTTGTATGACTTTGAAACCCAAGAACCTGGTCTGGAAACATGATGGTATCCAAAATGATGTCAAGGAACAATTTATTCTGAAATGTTGGTTGGCAAATGATGGTCTGTTTATGTTCAGCCCTCTAGGTAATAAATGTTTTCACATTTTTAAAGCATAGTAAACATATATTTGTGTGTTTACACACACACAAAGAAAAATATAAAACAGACAATATGTGATCCTAAAGCCTAAAATATTTACTCTCTGGCTCTTTACAGAAAAAAATTCCAACCAATGTTCTAAAGCATACTTAAGGAAAAATAAGAGAAAAATAAAATGGATGAATATAATGAAGATAAGAGGTCACATTTAGGAATGGGATACCCACAAATGAATATTTAGTTCTTTAGTTTCTTTCAATTGTAAGATTTTGGTCATTTTTTTCTTCCAAATTGCCTCAAAGATTAAGATGGCTAAAGGCACTAATGCCTCAAAAATTCCATGTGGGATTTCAGAGATTAGTTCAAATTTTGAAAAGGAGTATGTTTCAATTTCCCAGACAGAAGAAAAACTCAAATATTATTTAATAATATATGCACAATCGGCCCAGTTGCAAAAGGAAAGATGTTCTGGGCCTGAGCCTGCCTTAACGGTGGAAATATCCTGAACAATCAGAAAGCCTTGGATTTTTCCAAAAGCTCTTGGCAGCAGCAGTGCTATCTCCAGGGTAGTGGCTGCCCTTCTACAAATAATGAGAAAATTATAATTATTATCAAGAATTATTATTATGTTTTAAAATATATTGAGTGCAAACAGTGTGCCAAGAGAAAACATTTTTTTTAAACAATCCTCTGAATTCATTCCAAGTTTGGTCACTCCTTTCCAATCATTTGTTCATTTCAACACTTTCATATTCCAGGCTGAAACATTTCAAAATGAGGTACGAAATGACAGCCATGGCTAGGCCGATCTCCTAATCAAAGGAGAGCTACAGACACCAGAATCAAGAACAAATCCTGGCTGCCGGCTTCTACTTTTGCCGAGGGCTGGAGCAAGAATTCCTGGGGAGGCCTGCATACCAAGTGTTTTAAAGTCATAACCAATAGATCACTGAATATTTAATCCCCCACCTTGACAAATATATCTTTATAAAAACCTGAAAGGCCAGGTTTGAATTTAGGATACCTGGACCCTTAGGAGTTTCATACAAAATGTAACAGTGCAACAGAAGCTGGGCCCCACCCCAGGGACCATGTCCTTTTTTCTTTCCACTTCAGTCTACACAGAAGCTGTTCATCAGCACTCCAGCAAAGAGCCACCTCTTAGGCCCAGGGGCCCCACACATACATAGCGCAGTCGACCCTCAGGGTGACAGATCCAAAATGGAACCCCTGATGTCTTGGAAACAGGCTCCAAGAAGTTTAAGCAGAGAATTCTGAGATTCTGTGATACTGGCACCAGGAGTGTCGTCTACACGGCAGCGTGGACTCTTGGTGGGCCTGCACCTTGGCACTGTGGGAGGGTATGACCTCATCCTTCGGGGAAGATATGACCAGAAGAGGGTGTCTCAGTCTGTTCAGACTGCTATAACAAAATGCCAGAAACTGGGCAGCTTATAAACAACAGAAACTTATCTCTCACAGTTCTGGAGGCTGGGAAGCCCAAAATAAGGGCACTGGCAGATTTGGTGTCTGGTGAGGGCCGCCAGAAACTGGGCAGCTTATAAACAACAGAAACTTATCTCTCAGAGTTCTGGAGGCTGGGAAGCCCAAAATAAGGGCACTGGCAGATTTGGTGTCTGGTGAGGGCCTGCTTTGTGGTTCATAGGTTGCTGTGGCCCTACCTCCAAATGCCATCATATTGGGAGTTAGGATTTCAACATAAGAATTTGGGGGGCACACAAACATTTAGACCATAGCAGAGGATCAGAATGGGTGCCTCAACAGCACAGAACCTGGAGCAGGAGTCACTTTTGCTGGGGTTTCAGTGCCGCACTGTGAGCCACAAGCCTCATGTCTTCCCCCGGCATGTGGTTTTAATGTACTGCTACCCTTGGCACACAGGAATTTTTATATTTTTCTTCAGGAGTGGTGACTTTTGTTCCTCACAGACACATGCAAACTTGACTCTGAGAGCCCAGAGTCCCTTCTTCAGCGCCGGTGTCACAGGGACAGCTGCTGGACTCTGATCCTTTCCTACTCTAAGTCCAAAGTGTCCACAGTTTGAGGATTGGCTCTTCCCAGTGGGATGTTGACATGAAAGCTGTGGCTTTCAGATGCCAAAAGAGGGCATGGAAGAATTGAAAGAATTACATGCTAGCTCTGCCACTAATAAGCCATATGACTTAGGACATATTTCTCATTTCTTTGAGTTTCAATTTCCCTGTTTGGAAAGTGAGGGCGTTGGACTAGGTCAGAGGTTGAAAACTGGCTGTGCATGGGTCAGATGTGGGATTTTGGTGGAGATGAAGGGGGCAACTCTGCAGAGCTTAAACATTTTTAATTGGTAATTAATCTTTTAAAATTAGGAGGTTTCAAGTAAAATTCTGCCCATGTTTTGTTCCCTAAATATCAAAACCACTGTACTGCCTCTAGACCCCATTACTATGAGATTTTTCTCCCACAGTCCAGTCTCCCAAACACACCCTGTTCTGTGTGAAATATAAGAGAGAGATTCAAGGTAGTGTAGAGAGAAGAGGGAGGAAGGGGAAGAGTCAAATGGGACAGGAGAGGATGGGAGGGAGGAAACAGAGAGGGGGAAAGGAAGCTCAGAGAAACAGACCACCGAGAGGAAAACAGCACAGAATGCTCTGGGTGCCAGGCACGGCTCTCAACATATTACACAGGTAATAGCTCATTTAACCTTCACAAAAAACCTATGAGATGGTGCTGTGGTCTGAGTGTGCCCCCTAAAAACCATGTTTTGGAAATTTAATCCCCAATGCAACAGTGCTGGGAGATGGGGCCTAATGGGAGGTGTTAAGATACCACATCTTTAGTTTACCTTGTTTGTTATGTGTCTTCTCTAGAATGGAGGCTTCATGAGGGGAGGAATCTTAATCTGTTTTGTTCATTGCCGTATATCCAGCTCTCACAACAGTGCCTGGTATATAGGAAGTGCTCAGTAAATACTTGTTGACTCAATAAATCAACAATGTATGCAAGTAGCCAAGCTCCAAAGAGTCTGATTTTGCCAACATTGTTTTCTGTCTCCTCCCAGGAAACCCCTTGGGGTCACACCCCTCCTTCTGAGCTATGGCACCTCTGAGCCAGCTGAGTGACCACGTGAACTCCACCTGTGGAGCAGAGAACTCCACGGGTGCCAGCCAGGCCCGCCCGCATGCCTACTACGCCCTCTCCTACTGTGTGCTCATCCTGGCCATCGTCTTTGGCAACGGCCTGGTTTGTGTGGCTGTGCTGAGGGAGCGGGCCCTGCAGACCACCACCAACTACCTGGTGGTGAGCCTGGCTGTGGCAGACTTGCTGGTGGCCACCTTGGTGATGCCCTGGGTGGTATACCTGGAGGTGAGTGGGCTCCAGGCACGTGCTGCCCACATGACCAAGCTTGTCTTTGTCTTCCCCGATTTCCTGACCTTCAGGGCTCAAAATACTCCCCAAGTGGTCCAAGAACTGGGGAAGGAAGGAGAGCTCCTATCATTCTGCCTTGAATGAGGGAACTAAAGCTTTTGAGGGCAGCCACCATTCAGTCACTCATCCACATCAGAACCAGGGAGCTGGGAATAATTCTGTTCCCAGGTCTCCAGTATCCAAGTGACTAGACTTAAGTGATGGGAATCTTCCTAAAAATGCCTGGGTTTACTCTCTGTGTCAGTCACGTATCAATGAGAGTGTACAGGAGTGCAGGAAGTGGGGGGAAGAAGGATGTATAGAAAAACAAGAAGACTTTTTGTAATTAATGAGAGGAAAAGAAAGAAAGTATGGTCTGCAAATAAACCAGACTTCTTTTGATGGTTCAGTTGCCCTCCATCTTGGCTCTTTTCTCCTCGCTATCAGATCTCCATAGACTCTGCTACAGAAAAAACAGACTAAGCCTTCAGATTTCTATTTTCCATGCCTCCATTAATAGTACAGAGCCTTTGCCAGTCAGATAATGCAGCTGACCCTGGAGAATTCTACTGAAGAGAAACATTTCCTAAATTTGAAAGTATGAAACAGAGTCAGGAGGTGACCAAGACAAAACATCTATTTGCTAACAAGGAAATCAGGGTACCTAGATCTATCTGTTCAAGAAAAAGATATTCTTACTGGGAAAACATGCAATCACTACAGAAAAATTTTTAAGCACCTTAATATACTATTAATATTTCTCCTCTGCACTGTGTATCATTCTAAAGAGGTATCCAATGAAGAATCAAAATGATGCTTTGATTAAGAGAAATTAACATTCATCAAATTAGTATCTCAGTTAATATTAATAGTGAAGGTGACAGTTAATTAAGTATGACATATCACAAGAGAGCAAAAACCTCGAATATAGACTGCCTATGTTAATACCCATACTGAAGAATGGCTGGGAACTAAAATTAGACTTATGGTCTTAAAGGGGAGACATAAAGAAATAAAGAAAGAGAATAGAGAAAGAGGAGGAAAGAAGAAAAACAACCAGGCTGATTGGGATAGATCTGAAAGCTAAGGGAATACTTGGAACGGAAATTATGTATTAATTCTTCCTAGTTAGGATAATCCTGATGGTGAATGGTCTTGTAATTATCTTGACTTCTCTGTCAACCCAATTAGGCCAAGTCATCCTTGAAGTCACAGGCTATGCCTTTGTTCTTGTCTTGTAGTCTAAAAAAACCACCTGGCATATAACATGTGCTAAATAAATATTAGACATATGAATGATAAAATGAATCTGTTCTGTAATGTATGCATTATATGGGCAATTCCTGCTTATACCATCTGCATCTGTATGTATTGTTAGAGGCAGACTTTTTGGGGTGAAAGGAGGGTGAACTATTTATTATTTTATACCCAATAATAATGAGATTGAAAAGAAGTTAAAAACGTGATATTTCTTTTCAATAGCAAAGCACTTCGGGTGCTACAAAAAGTATGGTCTGGTCAACAATTCATAACACCACCACCCTCTAAAGTGTTTCTGCCCATCTCTGTACATTACAGGGATTCTTAAATCCTCCAGAAGGATGAATGTCAGAAAGAAATGCAGGCAAAGTACTTTCATTCTAATGAGCATTTTCATTCCCTCTGAAATAAAAGCAGGCTTTTGGTGTTTATAACACAGCCATTCAGGGGTGCTCTTCAACTATACATTTGTGATTGCCTCCAGGACTCTGGTTGGACCATATTGGAAAGCCTCTGTAGATACTGGTTTGGAAGACAGACATTGTGACTTTTCCACACTAGAAACTCATGGCATCCCCTTCCACCCACACCTGCTGATGTAGATGAGGATCCCATTCTACTGCTGAGCATAGAAGAGCAGCTGAGACTAGAGAGCCACAGGAGATCTTGCCAAAGACCTTAATGGAATCTCTGTAGGAGAATCTATGGATTTTCTCCCATAAGAAGAGCTTTGGTGGAGTTCTTGGTTTCCCCCTCACCCTACTCCACCCTCCCTCCCCCAAAAACACTATGCCCTTTATCCAACAGGTTATTTGGTATAGGTATTCAGTAACCAAGAGCATGATCAAAGAAACCTACATTCACGTAAAGAAGATTTGGGGGAGCAGAGACATTTCTCCACTGGGAAGTGGGCTTTGGGGTCTCTTTTTGGTGTTACGAACTTCCTTCTAGATCCAGTCAATGCAACTTTATATCTCTGCATCACTTTCTCCAGCAGTCAACTAAGGGGTCTGTCTCAATAAAAGATAGGATGTGACCTAGACCAGCCATCATTAACAGATGACCAGTTAAAATATTAGAAGTTTCTAGTTCAGAGGACCAGGTCCCCCCTATCTTGCATCACTCATGCTTTTCTTAGTCTTAAATGTTTTCCTGTCTTTCTTTAGAGACAGATTAGGTTCTTTTGTGAGAGAAGAGAACATTTCGAGCCCTTAAAAGGACTATGAATATATCAATTCGTGTGTCTCAGAGAAGAGCAAAGTATTACTCTTAGTAACTTGTCCTAATGATGGTGCAGTATAAGTAGCTGCTCCGGTAATTACTTGATTATACCTATGAGCTCCCTTTGGAGAGAGGAAGAGGTGCAGTGTTGACCACAGAGACTGCTGTAGGCTGGAAGGCCCCAGGAAGATAGGACCCACGTGAGAACACCACCATTTGGGAGCCAAAGGGTTCACGGTAATTACTTGATTATACCTATGAGCTCCCTTTGGAGAGAGGAAGAGGTGCAGTGTTGACCACAGAGACTGCTGTAGGCTTGAAGGCCCCAGGAAGATAGGACCCACGTGAGAACACCACCATTTGGGAGCCAAAGGGTTCACCAAATTCAAAGCCTCATGCACTTTGATCTGAATACATCAATCTTCTTTGAAGGAAAATTGGCTCATTTTGCCAGACACAAGTATGTATGAGTAGGAATGTTCTGACTGTAAATATTGGAAAACTTGGCCAGTTATAGCTTAGATGAATTTTAGATTTCTTGGATAACCAGAATTCTGGAAGAAGGGGATTGTCGATGTTGGTTCAGCTGCACCATGGTGTCATCTTGAACCAGACTTTTTCAGCCTTCTTCCTCTCCATCCTTGGCAGGCTGGCCTACTTCTTCGTGCTATTCACAGGATAGCTGCCCCAGCCCTCAGTGTCATGGCAGTCTTCAAAAATAGGATGGATGGGGGCAGCAGAGAAAGAGAGAGAGAAAGCCCTTTCCCTGGAGTAGCTCAAAGCATCTCCCTAAGGAACTTCGTTTAAGCCTAATTGGCCAGAACTGAGCCTTAAGGCCACATTTAGCTGCAAAGGAAGAGAGAAAAAATAATTAAAATGTGGGTTTTATTAAAAAAGATGTGGGGTGGGAAATTGTTGTGAGGCAGGCAATAGAGTGTCACATAACATTGCCTCTGTTGGAATTCACTGGGATGAATGTCATTCCAACACAGGGTCATGCTAGGAGAAAGACTCAGAACTAGGAGTCAGAAGACACAAAAGTGAATAAAATGGAGGTAACAACACTTTCCACGTTGGGCTGATGATAAACTCAACTGTCATCACCTGAGAGAGGGCTCTGATAACTAAAAAGTGTGATCTATAAATATCTCAGTGAGACATTTTTAATTGTAAGTAAAAGAAAACTTAACTTCAGTTGTCTAAATAATAAACAGGATACAATGGCTCTCACACCAGGAACTTTAAAGGTCCTGTGTTAGGGTGGGCTCCAGTTCGATCATGGCTCCAGCTCCATTTTTCTACAATTCTCTTAGCTCTGCCTTCTTCCATATACTGAGCTTATCCACAAGCAAAGGGCTAAGCTATAGGCCTCACATGTGCACATCACACCTTTCATAGCAACAGGCAAAATCCACGCCTCAGAATTTCTAGTAGAATTGTCAAGATGTGCTCTGATTGAACTGGCTTACAGCACATAATTTTCCCTGAACTTATCACCAGGGGGGAAAATTGGTTTAACATAGGTTATGTATTCCTTCCATGGAATACATCAACTTCTCAGGAATCTCATGGATTCCCAGTGGAATCCAGGGAGGCACATAATTTTCCCTGAACTAATCACCAGGGGGGAAAATTGGTTTAACATAGGTTATGTGTTCCTTCCATGGAATACATCAACTTCTCAGGAATCTCATGGATTCCCAGTGGAATCCAGGGACTATTGGAAAGAAAGAAGAGGACAATCAGTAACCATGAACCACAGTGAACTTTCATTGGTATTATTCTCATCATTAAGACACCCGGGAACCTGCACCTGGGCAGAATATAATGGGGGACCCACAGGGGCCAGTCACTGACCCATGTCAGTATTCTCTGTCCTCAAACCTAGCAGAGAAGTTCAAGACAAAACCATGCAGGTGACCTCACAGAAGGTTATATTTCAGAGGGCCCTGGGCTTGGCTGTCTCTTTAATTCGGTTTGCAGCATTTTCTCAAAAACTCTTTTCTGTGCCATACCAAATAGCTCTATCTCAGATTCCCTCTCAAGATTTTAATTTCCTGCTTTGCAGGCTGTAGTCTGTTTGGAGCTCTCTCTCCAAGCACAAACATCCCATTTTGTTCCACTCAGTTAAGCATCTTTTGTGATGTTTAATGCACTTATATCAGGACAGAAAGGCAGCATAAGCAGCCAGGAGAACATGTGGAATACTAAACGTGGGTCCCAGTATGGACAGGAGAAAAGACTTAAAAAAGGGTTAAAGACTTAAAAAAGGGTTAAAAAATGTAGACAAGCAAAATAGAACAGGACTCAGGCAGGAAAACACAGCACAGGAAAAGTGATCAAGTTCAGATGGTGATGACAGGAAAGAACACCAATGTTTGGGGGAGGGAGAAATCTCTGGGCCTTGTAATGGTATAGATTATTAAAAATAAGGAAGTTTTAAAAAAGGATAGTTTTACCATAGTTCTAAAAATCAA